ATCAACGGGAGGGCCTTTACCTTTACCTGTACATCAAAACAGAACTAAAACTAAACAAAAACTAAATGGGAGAAAATATTCACACTCAACAACACATCAGATAAAGGATTGATATTCAGGATCTATAAAGTACTCACAAGGATCAACAACAACATAAAACAATAAAGGCCCCATCAAAATTGGGGAAAGGAAATGAACAAACACATCTCCAATGAGAACAAATGGATGGCCAACAGGCACATGAAAATCTGCTCATCACCACTTATTAGTATGTAAATTCAAATCAAGATGACAATGAAATATCATCTTATACCAGTGAAAATGGCACATATACAAAATACTGGGAACAATCTCTGTTGGAAGATATGTGGTGAAAAAGGAATCCTCATACACTGCTGGTGAGAAAGTAATCTGTATAAACCCTATGGAAAGCAGTATGAAATACACTTAGTAATCTCAAAATTGAGCTCTCATGACTCAGCATTTCCACTTTTGGGTATCTATCCCCAGGACGGAAAAAATGTTCACTTAAAAGGATAGTAGATACATGGGACAGATAGATTGCTCCATAGCTGGAAGCCTGACTCATGAGCAAAGGAATAGAGAAGGGATCACTAAGAAAAAAATGACTGGAGGAATCAGTTGGGATGGGATATATGTGCAGAAAGTAGATAAAGGACCAAACATGATAATCTCTCAGGGTCTGTATTGCAAACCATAATGCCCAAAAGTAGAGAGAGATTATGGAGAATCATGTCTGCCATGGAGGCAGGAGAGGGTGGGAAAGGGGGGTATATCGGGGATATTGGTGGTGGGTTCTTTACCGACAAAATGCATGTCAATTTCGAAGGGAGAACGTTGGGAACAACATATCCATCCTGCAGAATTTGGTATGTGGGCAGGTGGATGTGGCTATGGAAGAGATCCGAGTAGAAGTCATAGATAATCTTCTCCATTGCCCTTCTGAAAGACGTGAGAGATCCTTCCGGAGATCGGAGGACAGTCATCTTGGTCCTGTAGTTGGCGAAGGACAGGCGGGCATTGCAAATGCTTTACCTGGCTTCTGCCACATCTGCCAGCACTGCTGCTCTTCTTTATTTAAGGTCTTTATCGCTTCTCTGCACTGCTTTGTGAGCTCGGATGTTCACTTGCAGTTGCCTGAGGCTTGTGCCAAGCCACGTTGACGAATGAGATCAATAGTTTTCGAAGACAGGCTTCTATTTGTGGCTATCTCTCTCTCTTGGTGTTCCTCACACAATCATGGAGGTGCTGAACCAGTCGAACATTCCTCATCAATGTTGTCAACGATGGCATCTTCCATGTTGCCACAATTGTAACGAAGAGCTCCCAGTTGGTGGTCGTTCTAGGAGTTCTCTTCTTAAACTTTGCAGCCCTTTCTCTCCGCTCCATGAAGTATAATTTTGCACAAAGGAGATGGTGGTCCAATCGCATTTGGAATTTTGGGACAACAGCAACATCGGTCAGGCAAGACCTTCGATTGAATATGATGTGGTCTATTTCGTTGTGGAACCGTCCACGGGGAGACGCCCATGTCCAATGGTTAAATTCGACCTTCTGGAACTGTGAGTTACCATGGATGGTCTTGGTTGACATGATGAACTCAGATAGTCTCTCACCCTGTTCAATCCATTCTAGGCCATGGGTCCCGATATGGAGTTCTTCAGCTGATATTCTTGGTCCAATCTTGGCTTTAAGATTTCCAACAATGATCTTGTAGAAGGTGTGGTCTTCTTTATAGAACTTCTCCAGCTCCATGTAGAACTTCTCAATTTCTCCTTCATCATAATTGGATGTTGGCACATAGACAACGAAGATAGAAACTGCTGGCAGTGAGCCACATCTATTAAAATGTAATTGTCCGATTTGGGTTGTTAGGCATTAGAATGAATCAATGCTCATGGCCAAGTTCGTGTTGACAAGGACACCGATACCACCAATGCCTCTTTTGTCACATGTTCCAAGGAACAGTTCTTCTCCAGTGTCGAAAATGGCGTGATGTGATTGATGCCTTCTGGTCTTGGTCAGACCAATGATATCGTACTTGATCTTTTGCACTGGCACCATCAGGTTCTCGATGGATTCATCCTATGCCAGTGTACATGCATTGAAAGCACAGACAGTCATTTTTGTCCTTCTTTGTTTTGGCAACCTAGTTTGGCCTTGATATTTTACCAACCTCTCCTTCCTCATCCTTCTTAACACTGCCGTATTTGCGTCTCTTTCAGGGTCAAGGGAATGAGACCCGTTGTATATACAGGTTTTGGTATATCAAATACGCCACGGATAGCTTGCCAGGCTCTGCCATGTGGGCAGGATATTTTCGGTAGCTTTCCAGGCTCTCCAAGAGGGATACAGACTTTTAGGGCAGACTCTAATCGCCCTTCATAGGTGTTCCTGTGGTTCAAATCATATTTGAACCCTATCAAATACGGTGCAGTAATCTTGGAAGATGGATGTTAAGTGTCCTATGATGTGTCTGGAGTGTGGCGGTGGCTGGGTAGTGGAGGTAGTGGAGGTAGTGGAGGTCTGCTGATGAGGTATTTATCTGGTACCAGTAGGGTCGTTCTTCTGTGTGTAATCCCTGGGTCACTGGAGGTTGGTGGAAACAGACAGGGCAAGATAGAGTGGTGCTTCTCGTTTTAATTCTTTGGTTTCCAGAGATTGGTGGGAGCAGACAAAAGATCTCTGTTCTCAGGTAAAGAACCGAACAGCACCCGGCCCAGACAAGGTCAGACCCAAACACCTGAAGAACCTGCCAACAGTTCTCATCTATACACTGGCTCGGTTCTTCACACGCTACCTGTCTGAATGCAAGGTTCCATCCCAATGTAAAACCAGCAGGACTGTGAAACTGTACAAGAAGGGAGACATCCACGACATTGGCAACTATTGGTCGATCTGCCTGTTGTCTCTCTTCTACAAGCTGTTCACTCGAGTCATCCTGAATAGGATTGGCAGACAATGGATAAAGGACAACCATGCGAGCAAGCCAGTTTCTGAAAAGGATTCAGCACAGTCGACCAAATCCACCCGATAACCAAGCTCAGTGAGGTATCTCAGGAGTTCAAGATGCCACTTTGTCTAACGTTCATTGATTTAAAGAAGGCCTTTGATTCTGTTGAGATAGAAGCAGTCATCGAAGCCCTAGCCAAACAGGGCATTCAAACTCAATACATCAGGATCGTCAGTGAGCTGTATGACAGACTCACTACCAGGATCTAATCATTCTACAAGGAAGTGATCATCCATGTCAAGAGATGGGTTCAGCAGGGTGATACCATTTCACCTAAACTATTCAGTTCCACCCTCGAGAACACCATGTGATGATTGGAATGTGAAGGAATGGGAGAGAAGATCGGCAACTACACCACCTCCGCTTTGCTGATGACATTGTTCTAATAACACCAAACATTAGCCAAGCGGCACAAATGCTGGTCAACTTAGACCATGAGTGTGGAAAGGTCGGACTGCAGCTGAATCTCACAAAGGCAATGTTTATAAGAAATGGACTCATTCTAAAGCTCCATTCTCTCTCAATGGGACAAACATCTCGAATGCAACCTATGTGTACCTAGGTTGAACAGTCAACATGACGAATGACCTGCCACCTGAGTTGCACAGGAGGAAGAGAGTGGCTTGGAACGCCTTCAAGAACGTTGCAGAAATAGCTAAGAGGACGAAGAACCTCAGGCTCTGAGCACATCTCTTTGATTCCAATGTTCTTCCTGCATACACCTCAGACACCTGGGCCCTACAGAAACAGGATAAGAACGCTATTCGGCTCTCCCAAAGAGGAATCGAAAGAGCTATGCTTAGAATATCAAGCTTCACTCAAACGAGAGAAAGAATCCGGAGTTCTGATCTCGATCGATGGTCAAGAATCAGGGACGCTGTCTCTTTTGCCAAGGCATCCAAAATCAGATAGGCTGGACAACTAATGAGATTTGTAGACGACCACTGGACTAGAGCCATTACGAACTGGATTCCACGAGACATAAAAAAAATAGCGTGGCTGCCCACCTATGAGATGATCAGATTTCTTCTTCAAGACCCTGAACAATAAGTTTGACGCTCTCCATATTCCTGGAGCAAGCAGACGCCATTGGGCTACACTAGCACATTACAGGGATGAATGGAGACGTTACTGGTGCCCGCTCGAGCAAATCAATGAGTAACGGGCTGTCAAATGATCATATATTACCACTTTCTACAAACTTATATGTAACTTCAATGCTTTAACCTAAATCAATATGTTGTTTCTTTTGAAGTATGCATGTAGTTACAGAGCAGGAGGAGATACCAATAGAGTTTTGTCACTCTATTTTGTGATAGAATTTGCCATGTCCTTATCAATGAAATACCCAGAGAGATAAGAAATGGTGAATCTGCATAAGCTTTTTCCAGGAGTAGACATTTAAAATCTATTATTTCACTAATACAGCTGTGAAGATCTACCTGAAACCTACTTGATCTCTGTGACAATATGACATATATCCTTGATTTTCTGCTAAGTGATATGTCAATTCCTTGGACTATGTTTTAAAATAATTGACTATACTCCACCCCCTCTACCCTAGATAAGTTCATTCAGTCAGTATTCAGGGGATACCCAGAGAATTAGATTATTTTTAATGTTCTCTGGATGATCTTTATGCAGAATCTAATTTGGGGGACCATTTATCTGATCTGATTTGGGGAGGGGGGGTTAGGAAGGCAAGCCAAATTACAAACCAAATTATTTTTTAGTGTATGAAACAATCAATCAATTATAAGAAACATTTACTAGTCTTATAGGAAACAATTACTAGTCTTATAGCTTGACAAGTAGAGTTACCTCTGGAGTTAGACCCATTCATAGTAACTGGGAAATCATTCTTTTTCTGAAGATGTGGCATATTTAGGCTATAAACTAGAAGTATTGTGAATGTGCATTTCTCCCAAACATTCCAGATGCCTAACTTTTTTCTTTTTTTTCACAGTTTGTAGCTCAGCCTAATTGCCAACAATTACTTGCCACTCTGTGGTATGATGGATTCCCTGGATGGAGGCGAAAACACTGGGTAGTCAAGCTTCTGACTTGCATGACCATTGGGTTACTGTTTCCCATGCTGTCTATAGCATATCTAATCTCACCCAGGAGTAACCTTGGGTTGTTCATCAAGAAACCCTTTATCAAGTTCATCTGCCACACAGCATCATATTTGACCTTCCTCTTCATGCTTCTACTGGCTTCTCAACACATCGTCAGGACAGACCTCCACGTACAGGGGCCTCCTCCAACTGTTGTGGAATGGATGATATTGCCTTGGGTTCTCGGTGAGTCAAAAGTACCAGAAGCTTTGGCCAAAGGGCCTGATGGACATACCTGAAGAACCATTGTAATATACAAACTGAACCTAAATTAATATACCTTCACTCTGTGTTGTGGGGTAGCACTTTGTTGGGAGCCTCGGAAATGTGGTTCCTTTTTCCTCTCTGCAGTTTCTCTATATGTCATGGTCCACAATGAGATTGGCAGTGAAACCTGCATTTGTGTTTGAAAACACAACATCTTTAAAGACAGACACATTGCCTTTCAGTTGATTTAGAAAAAAAGTCAAGTATCAGTCAGAATGGCCCTCAGGTATACTAGACATGGCAAGTGCTGATTAATGTCCTTTTTCCCAGAACTGGGGGCTCTTGGATGCTGCTTTCTCATAGTTGCTCCACACAGTCTCAACATTTACTTAGGTTTCACGTGCTGTTTTGTACTTATTCCACAAACAGAAGGAGAACCTAGAAAATCTACACAATCCGTGGTAAAAGCAGCGTTACCAGTAGGGTCCAAGAACAATTGCTAACATTGGACCCTACAATAGATTGCCATCCCGCAAATGCTTGCTACGCAAACTATGGCTATCCTAAACAGCAATGTCAGTATTATCTCAGAGCTTTATATGAATACAGAATAACAAGTTTCATTATACATCTCATCTATAGATTCCAAATTATTTTTTTTTTGCTTTTTGTGTAACACCCAGCGATGATCAGGGGTTACTCCTGTCTCTGCATTCAGGAATTACCCCTTGTGGTGCTCAGGGAATCCTATGGGTTGCTGGGAATTGAACCCGGGTCAGCCGCTTGCAAGGCAAATGCCCTACCCGCTGTATTATTGCTCCAGCCTCTAGATTCCAAATTTTAACATGGTCCCCAGGTGACTAAGAAGCACTACAGTTTGAGAAGCACTTCTAAAACTATAGTCATACTTTTTGCTGATTTATATATTCCAAGTCCAAAGAAACACCTATGTCATCATGACCTCGACAATGTATAAAATTGGAGGAAAGTAGTATATTGTAAAGAATATTATAAATTATTTTGATCCCACCATCTAGCTTCAATGCCATCGTTCAATAATTTGGCCCAGACAGTTTACTGACCTCAAAACTCTCCTGAACAATTTTCTCTCTAGCATTTATTTAGATGAAACTGAAGACTATGTTGTAATATCAATCTTATTACTTTATAAATGAAATTATTCCCAATCTCTAATAGGGAGAGGGTAGATAAAGCACCCCAAATTACAATTTAGCAATTATTCGGTGACATCAAAATTGATTGGAAACAATAAATGTAGCACACAGGGATATCTTTAGGTAAAGGTTATCAGGTTTAGCAAGTTAACGACCTGGAGGTGAGGTTGGAAAGAAGACAGATATGTGATTACTTTCTTGAGGACTTTACTACACTTACCTCAGTTCATGTATTGATATCATCTTTATTAATTTTGGGAACATAGTATGATGACTATGATTATCATTTGACCCTGTACAGAAATAAATATTTTCCCTTCGTTCTTCAGGTTTCATTTGGGGGGAGATTAAGGAAATGTGGGATGGAGGATTTACTGAATATATCCATGACTGGTGGAACTTGATGGATTTTGCAATGAACTCACTGTACCTGGCAACTATTTCCTTGAAGATTGTGGCCTATGTCAAGGTAACGTAGAATGCTCATCATTTGACTTATTTAATTATTTTATTAAATTTAATTTTATCTCTAGGAAGATAAAGTGATTAGGCTAAATGTGGTGATGATAGTGTAATGTATATCCCAAATGGTCATATAGATACATATTTTACATATTCTTTGAATAGTTTGTAAGTAGTTTCCATCTAAGTATAGAAAATGGAGAATGAAGTAATTTGTAAATACATCCTTAGTTTATTTAACTCTAAAAAAGTGTCCTTGGCTGTTTATCTAGCCTGCCAATTTTTAAATTTTGTCTTACAATATCTTGGTCAATAAAATTTTTCACCAATGCTTGTATAAGGCAGAGTCAGAAAAGTCACTGAACTTCTTATGATCAAAAACTCTCTTAACCCTTGTCATGTATTTAACAAATGTTAATTTAACTGAACATAGCATTTCAGGGCGAGTTATCACCACCAGGAGTAGACATGGATCCCCAAGCAGCTACTTATTTCTAGAAAGTGAGCTTTTATATTTTTCTAATATCCTCCGTGTGACACACCCATTAATAATTCTTACTTCCTGTTCAGTAAGATATGAAAAGGATTTCTCGTTTTCATAATAGCACTTCTGATGTGAAGTCATCTCCATAACTCTTTAACCCACTGAATTGTCTTTACACAAAGCTAAATATTCAGAAATTCTCAAGTATTCTTCATATGATAGGTAATAGGAACCTAGAAACTTCATGGCAAGCAGCATAGATTTCAAGAGTCTATGACCCTCAACACTGAGTTGGTCAATTAAACTAAAAATCTTGACTCTTTTTGTATCTATATATATGTATATATACATATATATGTATACATGTATGTATGTATGTATAAAAAACTCAAGTAATATACACATACCCACTTGATGCTTTCTCCACACAATATTCAGCCTGTATTAACCTAGAGAAATCAGGTCTGATTTCCTACATTATATCTCACAGGTTCAAGTTTTAAGTTCTATGCACTTTTGAGAATTGAATTGCTGTGCTTCTTATCTCCAGAGTTTAATTTCTCCAGGATGAGGAAAGCCTGACAACTTAGTTAAAAAATTGTCTAGTCACGCTTTATCTTTTTGGCACAAAGTCCTACATTAAGTAGTTTTAGAATGGGTTTATGGCTCTCTCCCAAAATCTCCAACAACTTAGATTATTTTTATATATCTAATATGCATATTGCATAAATTTTAAGAATTTTGGAGTTATAAGGATAATGAATATTGACTGCAGACATAAAACACTTTTTAAAGAAGCCAAAGCATACCTTATATTTGGGGTGGTCATTTAACACATACTTACAACTTCCTTACCAAAAAAACCTGGTGAGTTAAATATTTTAATCTCTTATTAATGTACCTGGATGAAATTCATGTCATTCTGACAGTCTACTGACTAAGTGACATTATATGCCTAAAAATTCTTCCTTTGAAATTGTTATTTACACACTGGAGGAACAATAAATTATTAATATAAAATCTGTGGGGTTTTGTTAAACAAGAATGGTATAATAAATGATCAGGAATAACTTGGGGAATATAAATAAATGTGTTCTATAGCACAAAATTCACTAATAACATAACCTATCCTACTTCCCTATCAAGGTTTTCAAGGAGTTAAGAACTTCCCTTACACAAAATTAGCTTTATTAAACTGGATAAATTCCCCACAAATGACAAACATTTACAGGAGGTATTTGCTAAGGAGTTGGAGTCTTCTTCAAAAAGGGAAACTTTACCACCAAGACATGCTGCAAACACACTTTGGATTTTTCAATGAGATATAATAAGTAGGGATTCTGATCCAATCATCTATAGGCCTCACCAGTATGAGAAATTTTTCCAAGTAGGTTTATGCAACATCTATGTGGCAAATCTGTAAGAGCAAGTACAGAAGCCCCTTGAAATATTTTAGATCACCATTATAATAAATAAATATAGAAGCTAGCTAAATTATAGCAAGCTAGCTTTATAAAAGGTCATCAGATGAGAAAACTAGTAACATACTACCTCACACACTCTATAACAAATCTGTAACAATAGTCTACTACCTCACACAGGCTACAACTAACTAACTGCTATAAAATAACCTACAGTCTACAAATAGTCACTACCTCACATAATATATAATAGGAAACCAAAGGGATACAACAAAATATTCTAAAGGACCAAATGTGTATATATAACATTTAGCTTCAAAACTCCCAAACAATCCTACAAATGGAGAGTAATTATTTTTTCTTCGATTTAGTTCACTACACTTTACCTCATGTGTACAGACTAAATCTGAACTTTGATGCTCACTAAATTGCCCTTTCTTTAACCAACTCTTCTGCAACTTTGTTATTACTGAGTACCCACATTAGCAGTCCATATTTATGTTTTTAAGTTGATAAGATCCTATCCCTTTTAAATATATGGAGATACATTTTTATGCTGAATTATATTTCAATGAATATAGAAAATCACTTTTCTTCTATTATCACTAACTTACGATTTGGGAAATTTGATTGAAAACCCTGCTGTAAGTTATATTACTACAGACAATAAAATTTAACCATGAGCTAGATTACCATCGACAATCCTTCTAATTCTCTGAACTTTAGATTCTCCCTGTAATGAACAATATCAAAGAATATAGGTGGCTTCTAACATTTAATTCCTATCCCACGTAACAGCATATTTAACTGAAAACCATGTAGAACTTTAACACATTATTAAGCTTGAAAGACTGACACTTCATAAGGTTCCCCAAGCGCTGTCAAGAATGATCTCTGTACACAGAGCCAGAATTGAGTATCATTGGAAATAGCTCCAAACACACATATACACATACATACACTTGCATATGTGTATAAAATCTTGTCCTTGAAAAAATACTTTTGATAACAACTATGTTAAATGAGTTCATTAGGTTGTATTCCATAATTTTTGTCTTCAAAGATTTGTATGCAAAACTTAAGCTTCCCAGAAAATTTCTAAGTGTACTATAAATTCATACAAATAATTCCATGGAGAAAGCCTATCTATGTTTATATTTCTGTTTGTGACAAAAGAAATCCTAAATTATTAGTTATATTAGTTATGCATATAACATATTGGTTATATGTTCTAAATGACGATTTATTGCTTTAAGACATAGGTTTATTTTCTTCACAGCAAAGAACCCCCAGATATCACATACACCTATCAATCTTTAAAAGTCTGTTTAACATATATGCTGTTAAATAACTATCATATAAGTAATATTTGACCACTTGGATACTTAAATTTTATTTCTAGCTTTGCCATGAACACCCGTGTAATATTAAATCAATCACTGATTTTTTATTTCACTAAACCAGGTGTAATAATATCTACCCCACACATTAATGCAGAAAGAAAAATGGCTAGACAAATGTAAGAATATATTTTTGGCCAAAAGTGTACAAATTTATTGGCTACCTAAAGTTTATCTGAAACAGAAGCACAAGTAAAGTATATTGGATACACGAAATGATCTTAACAATGCTGGTTTCCTCGGGTTTTTGGAAGTAAATAACATTTTAGAGATGCTTACACAGTCATCTGGCCCTCAATACAGCATTTCTCAGGAAAATTGTTTACACTTAGCCCTAAGAAATTGTGGTATTTAGATTAGAGCTCAAGGCAATATGGTTCGGATTTGATGCCAGACAAAATTCTACATCTGTCTTAGGAAAGTAATAAGCAATTTCTTGTATTTCTATAACATTTTGGCTACGGATTTCAGACTTTTGCATATGTATACATAACTACAAATGTATGTGATGAGTAAATGTAAATATCTTTATGCTATGGTGAAAATGAGAGATATAGTCTGTTTTATATTACAAAGCCAAAATTGAAATTCAGGTTTCATAAGGAATTCATCTTTCTACAAGATTACCTCCAATATTCCAAGAGCTAAAAATACAGAAACGCGATAGAAATGTGCAACCAACCCTAGAAATTAGTGTACTTTCACTTCTTCAATAGTCTGAGCTTGTAACTATCTCATGGTGATTCAGTAAAATTTTTAAAAAATAGTCTGTTTCCTGATTTTCCTAGAGGGACATTCTAACTTTTAAGGTTATCAAAGAAACAATAAAAAGCACCACCTGATGAGATAACACTAAATTTACTACCTGAAAGATTAACATACCATTTGGAACAGCTTGTAGTACATGACATACAGCTAAATATTTCATCATAAAACTCTGGATAATGGCCCTATAGGGATATTCTTTCTTGTTCCCATCTGCAATTATCAGGGAAGTGAGGATTAAAACTTCACTGAAAAGGCTGACTATCCTACAGTAACCTCAAGTTGTCTTAAATTTTCAGATAAAAAATGGGGGGAGATGTTGAGATGTATATCTGATTTTAAATCTCATCTGGAAGCTGAATGATCTGTTTCCATTACCTTGGTTATACCAGTTGAACTATTCTAGTGGCATTCCCCAACAAACTGGTGAATCCAGTTAGAAAATATCTGTTGACAAACCACAGGAGGTTGTTCCAGATTGCTACTTCAAAATTCATTTTTCTATATCTATATTCAGGACACATATTTAGTACGGGAGGAGTGAGAGTAGAGAAAGTAGCATCATATATTGATTGGGTGGGGAAAATAATCCAAAGAGTGACCTACAGTGCATATAATAAAAATGAATGCTTGGTGCATACTTTGTTTGATTCATTTTATCATGTAAGAAAGGGAAGTGGGAAGTTTTATAAATGCTCACTGTAACTTTCCTCTTATGCACTTGTTTCTTTCAGTATAATGGTTCTCGTCCAAGGGAAGAATGGGAAATGTGGCACCCAACTCTGATTGCAGAAGCACTCTTTGCGATATCCAACATTTTAAGTTCCTTGCGTCTCATATCCCTATTCACAGCCAACTCCCACTTAGGGCCTCTGCAGATTTCTTTGGGGCGCATGTTGCTTGATATCCTCAAATTCCTCTTTATCTACTGCCTGGTACTGCTGGCTTTTGCCAATGGATTGAACCAGCTTTACTTTTATTATGAGACCAAAGCGATCGATGAGCCTAACAACTGCAAAGGGATCCGGTGTGAAAAACAGAACAATGCCTTCTCCACGTAAGACTCTCCATCTCTTCTATTGCTTTTATTCTGCCTTGTCTTTCTTTTCCCTACTTTCAGTTCAGAGCTTTGTCACTGCCTTTGACAATTCGTATAAAGCTTACTATAGATGAAATAACAGAGTTTGAAGTGAAAGAAGACCCTATCCATAAAAAAGGGACTATAAGAAGTGGACTTAGGTGTGGAAGAGAAAAAACAAACACAGAGGTTCCCAAGAACTCACTAAAGAGTTCTGAATAATATGCACTCATATCCCATATTTTAGTGGAACTAGTTGGACAGGAACAAATAATTTATCACCCCCAAAGGTATCATTTACCATGAAAATGAAACAGCAGTGATAATCCTCTAAACAAGTGACTATCAGAACTAAACTATTCATTTTAAATTAACTACAAAGTAAAAACAAAGGAGTATGCAAGAGTATTATAATGTACCTGTAAAAATCTCTTGTAATTGCAAAAGATAAATAGTATACCAGGTAGAATGCTTACTTTGTCCACAGACAACCTGGGTTCAATCCCTGGTACTACATACTGATCCCTGAGCATAGAGCCAGGAGCAAGTCCTTAGAACAGCCAGGTTTGGTCCTAAAAACAAATCCGTTGTAAGAACAATGAAGGTGTCTTTTGTTTTATTAGGGAAGTTAATTTTGAGGTCCTACCATAGGAGTGAAACTGGTTGCCAGTACAGCCAACCAAATGATTAGGGGGTTGGAACTTTTAGTCCCAGTCCTGCAGGCTGGGAATAGAGGACAAAGGATACAGTTCAATCACTAATGGTCAATGATTTAATCAACAATGCCTATGTAATCAAGTGCCCATACCAGTGCAAAAGGATAGATTATGGAAATCTTCCAAGTAGATGAATACAACAAACTTCAGAAAAAATGAAACTCGGCAATGGAATTTAGAAATAGTAAGCGTGATTTTTGTGGCATTGACTCATTGTCCATACAAAATGCAATTTAAGAAGCATGTTAATCTCTAATCCATTTTTATTATTATTCATAATAATTAAAATAGACATAAGTGAAAGTATTAGGTTGGGCCTTAATGCTAAACGAAGTTCAGATTTGGGTCGATTGAGGTTGGGCCTCTAGCATCAAAACCACCTCACAAGAGAAATATACTGTGATAGCAGAAACCTCTCATACACTGGAATGTAGGGGAAAGAGAAAATCAAGAAACTACAATATCCAGGAGGTATAGTGTGAAATAGCTGTTTTATTCTGGGGCTCAGCATCATCAGCTTCCAAAATAACTTCTACTAATTGGGTTATGAGGGTAACTAATTTAGGAGCTGTGTCATTATGTTGTGAACAATGTACAATGGACTTGCATGTCTGGGGTTTAGATAAACAGATAATTTTAGAACTATCACAGATAGCCATGCATTATTCATATATAGCATTTTTTCTGTGTTTCTGAACAAATAGCCTGGTGAAGCAACCCAAGATGAAGTGCTAATATGCTTTGTAAGCAAGGCTTATGAAACTAGTTTCCTAATGACTAGTATCCACCCACTGAATATATGTATTACTCAGGGCATGGTAAATGCTGTAGATAAGGGGATCTATTTCACGGGGACACCCAATATGGCCTTATTACAGAAAAACTGAGGGAAAGTTCAGGAAACCTTACTGAACTTGCTTTATAACCTTTCTTCTGGAGTCTCAGAGATGCTAATAAAACATTAAGTTAATTAGAAAAAGTCAAGGGGAGAGTCAAAGGACTCCATACAATAAGTGGAAATTTTTGAGCAATTATTAAGGAATAAATCAAATGAAGCATATACTGATAGAAATGAAAAATAGAGGAAACAGAGGTATTCGCAGAGCTCATCCTAGCAACATGGAACTTTTTTAATGAAACAGTCATTGATGAGGTTAAGAGAAAGGTTTTCAGAACAGTGTGACCAAAGATTGAGTGAACATAAGGGACACCTGATTGGTCTCCAAGACACAATGGCTCCAAACAAGTCCACTTTCAGTTCAGATCAATTTAAAACATCCCGAAGGTCTAAGTTACAGCTATAAACTTGACCGGTGGTGGTGGTTAAGCAGATAAATAAGGCCAAAGTTTAACAAATGGAGAAGGGCCCTTAGGCTTGATTCATGTTTGAGAAGTGAAAGCATTTTTCAAAATCATAGGTAAAATGATCATGACATAGAGAAGTTTACAGGAATTCTATTAACTATTTGTTGATAAAGCTCTATCTTGGGCAGGACTTCAATCTACAGTTAGATTGAGAGAACATAAAAATGTAAAACTTGATAAGATTATACAAACTATTCAACTATTACAGCTGGCTTTATGTAACTAATGTATCTGGATATTTTATGAAAATGGCTATCGTGCCATATTGGAAACTTTTTTTCATAGTATTGTAAAAGCAAAGTCTATTGATAAGTTTCTTATAAAACTCACAGAATCTAAGAGTTGATGAAATTAAAGTAAACGTGCGTACGTAAGAGCGTATGAACAGACTATATGTGAAGTTTTTGTGTCTTATTTAACTGATTTTATTTTATTATGGTGATGGATGTTATATCTGATCAGGAACATGTCACCTACTTAGTACTATTAAAAACAAAACACATGTAATTTCACCTTTCATGTTACATGAACATGCTAAATGGAAATGAGTAATATTGTCTAAATCTGCCCTGAGTTAAATAGAAACTGTATTGCTTACAGGGACAAATTTTCTGTGTTGCAGTCCTGTGTGGAACCTAGACTAGAGATTAAGTTAAAAATCCATTACTGCCTCTTAATGAGAACTATACCATCTTTAGCAGGAGTAAATTACAAAGTGAAGGGGATTAGAGGCAATGTCAGAGATCACTCAGTTTCTGTGATTAATTAAATATTTTATATGTGTCAAAGGGTACCAAATAGGTATTAGAAATGTCTCCTCTGAACACTTGTGACATATGACAGTTCATTATTCTCAGTCCATAAATCCACTGGCTCCAGATTCAGGGAGTTCCTTTTTCTTTTTAAATTCAACATCTGCTTCTTCAGAACCTTCAATCTCAAGAATAGATTTTATTTTCTGAAAAATAGCTGTTGGGGAAAATAGATAAAGAGAAGTATGTATCAGGAAGTTTAAGTTACAAGAGCTGTCCCAGGCTTACTATGGATCCCAGGTTGCAGGTTCCAGTGCCTGTCCTAGGCTTACCATGGAGTGTAATAAGGTACAAGGTACAGATGTTTTGTACCTTGCCCAACCCTACCACAGCTTCTGTACAGAGTAATACTCTCTACTATTTATAGCTATGATACCAAGGTCATGAATAAAATCTTATTTGTTAAATTAAGACAATTTATTCATCTTTAACTCTATAAAGTAAAACAATTCAGTGAACTCATTTTAGAAGTATATACAATAGCAAAAGTCAAGGAAGATAAAAGTATTTGTTTGACCCCAGCTTGCACCGACATAAAGAAAAAAGAACAACACTGCCTAGCTTATCTCTATATATCTCTGGCAATATTTTCTAAAGTTGGTTATTAATAACCATATTTCAATGTGAAGTTAGCAGAAATGAAAACAGGATCTCTGATCAAATTAGTTTTGGAAGTGCTAGGACACATTTTGAAAGGTTCTTTCACTTTAGGACTTCTTAGATTTTCCATTCAGAATTTGAGATTTAGACTGAAAGAGGATGTCTCTGAAATGTGTTCAAGGTGGTATTTCAATAAACAAATTTCAAAAATATTGTTTCTCACTTTACAGCACCCACCTCCTCTATTAGGTCACATCCTTTGCTTTTCTTCTAATAACTCAAGGTAAAATCTTGGAAGGAGGAAAACGGAGTCATGTAAAGGGGAAAAAGACCCGAGTTGTAAAAGAAGCATAAATGTCTATTTTGGTTGTCAACGAGGAGGTCATAGAAACTGGTCACTTTCTCTTTTCTCTTAATGGGAAATATTTCTATAAATTGCTCTATTGATAGGAATCATATCAATGTGTTTTCAGTATAAACACATTTTTAGTGACTTGAGGACCAAGGGGCTGCATTTGTTCACACCAAATAATTTGACAGAACTTTTCACCTGAATTCAAAGTATGTTATTATCATTCTTTTCTTTCTCATTCTATAAAGATTCCATTTTTTCCTTTGTCTCAAAAAGTAAAAAGCTTTAGCATTTCATGAGAAATTCAAAGTTCTTATACATGATATATATAATAGTACTGTTGGTGATTTGGGTTCAGCATTTCAAACTTGGAATATCTTGCCTTTATACTTTGTCCAGAATAGTCATTAGGAAAGCATCATCATTCTTTATTTTTTTTATTTTTATTAGTGAAACACGATGAAGTACAGTTGTGGAAATTACAAGTTTTTATGCCTGGGTTTCAGTTATACAATGATTGAGTACCCATTCCTTCACCAGTACCCATTCTCCACCCCCAATGATCCCAGTATCCCTACCACCCCGCATCCACCCCATCCCACCCTGCCTCTGTGGCAGGGCATTCCCTTTTGTTCTCTCTCCTTTTGGTTGCTGAGGTTTGCAAAAGAGGTATTGACTGGCAATCATGTTTGGTCTATAGTCTACTTTCAGCATGCATCTCCCATCCTGGGAGGATCCTGACAACACCCTTTACTTGGTGTTGCCTTCTCTATCTGAGCTGCCCTTTCCCCTAGCATGTGCAGCTGGCCTTCAAGCCATGGAGTGAACCTCCTGATACTTATCTTGACTATTCTTGGATGTTAGTCTCCTATTTTGTTAATTTATATTCCGCAGATTAATGCAATCTTTCTATGTCTGTCCCTTTCTTTCTGACTCATTTCACTCAGCATGATACTTTCCATGTAGTACCACTTATATGTAAATTTTATGACTTCATCTTTTCTAACAGCTGAATATTACTTCATTGTATAGATGTACCAAAGTTTCTTTTTTTAATTTTATTGAATCACTGTGAGATAGTTATAAGCTTTCATGTTTAGGTTAAAATCACACAATGATCAAACACCCATCCTT